AGAGAGAGAGAGAGAGAGAGAGAGAGAGAGAGAGAGAGACGGACCAAATCTGCCAGTTAGCCTTACGGCAAACAGATGAAAGTTTTTAGTGGAGAAATGAAGCAATGTGACAGATGTGGCGCTATATTTTGGATATTAAAAAAAATGAAGGAATGATTAAATTACATTTAATAAATTTTAATAAAATAATACATGCAGTAAAAGATCAAACAGCATTCAGCAAGGAAAGTATGCCAAAAGGAGTAGTGCAATATGGTTATGTGACAGTTTCAAGCTTCTGAAAGAATTTTATAAATAAAGGGGGTGATTGTTATGTAGTACCAAGTGCTCTTTTCGCTTTTACCCCTCTTTCCACTAATAGAGTGGTAAATCTCTTCGTACATGATCTTTCCTCTCTTTTAACTTTTATCATTTTCTTCCAATTTCTCTCTTCATCCTTTTCTTTCTTAATTAAATAACTTCTCATTTAATGAAAATTTTTTAATTATATAACTTTGCCAAATATTTGAAAACTTTAGGGCATATTATTTGAGATAAAGCAAAAAATTCATTTAAATGTTTTTGATTTTCATTATTAAGATATTTCATTCTTAATATACTTTTTCCACATAAAAAATTAGATTTAGGCTAGAAAAATATTGCAAAAATATGTTTTTTTGGATAAGATATAAATTTGTATTAGCATGTATACAATATCAAAAGATTTCGTAACTATTAGATTTCCTATTAAATCATTCTTGTAATATTATGCAAAGTACAGCAATCATTAATTCAATATCTCCCACTCTTTAGAACAATCATTTTGTGCAGATGAGAAAAATCCACCTCAGATATTTAGGATTCTAGTGACATTTTCATGCATGTAAATGAAAGGTAATGCAATTTCAGGTATGGCATAACAACGGTTACTAATGTCATTTCAATGAAACCATCACAGAAAGGTGATCGTTATAGTTTATTATTCCTCGATTCTGAATTGCTTGAACATTACCAAAATTATTCTTTATTCTTTTCATAATGTTTTATTTATTTATTTATTTATTTATTTATTTATTTTTCTGATACTAATAGTTCTCAACAATCGTAGAAAATCTGTGAGCGTTAAATGCTTTTATGGAGAATTTCTGAATTATTACAAGAAAAGAAAAATAGAATAAAAGCATAATTTCTATAGTAATTCATTAGTTGCTAGCGTGGTAATGGAAAGTTAGGTAACAGTCTGAAGAGAAAAAAATGGGAGGATAGTGAATGGTTAAATAAAAAAAGTTGCATTCTTTACTTTTGATATTTATCAGTTTATCAGTATTGCAAATCCATCAAATATTAAATTTACGAAAATTTATGGGATAAAAGTCATCTAACACTCCAACAAAAACCAATTGGAATACTGTATGGCATTGTGAAAATACCATTGATAACACTGGTACAGTAAGACAAACCTTGCAGAAGACACTGATAAATGTTTAATAGCTGAAAGTGTGCAGGGAACTTCTAAAACCATGACATTGACTACTTTCAAAGAGTTTGACACATTATTACATCGGAAAGACATGGATGATAAAATGACTGTCGGAAAATCTGGAGAATGGTGGCTGCTTCAGGAAGTTCATACCTAAACACACTCGCGAAACGTAAAACCTCTCTATCAAAAATTCCAGCTCTCATCATGTGCACATCGCTATGCTTAGCTTGGAACTTTAAATTTGCAGTGCAGAGTTTCTTAAAATTTTTAACAAGAAAAAGTTGATGAAAACTTCATAAGAAGAAGATGCATTTAAGGTATGCTTCAATGATTCTGAAAAGATCGATTAATTTAAAAATAGTAACTGTCATGCAATCGGCTTGTAAGCTCCCAATAGCTTAATTTTTTACTTTTTTCATTGAAAATTCTAATTATGGATGAATTGTGACTGTCAAGAAGTGATGAAGTAAGAAAACTGAAATTATAATTAATCAGAAATAAACTTGTCTCATAGTTATTATTCTGAGAAATATTTAAATTCACTTTTGAACTTCTTCTATCATCCAAAAAGGAACCAATATCAGTAAATGCAAACAAAATCAAACATTCACGAATCCTTTTTATTTGTTTTCCTCACTCTATTCATTCTCACTTTTCTTATAAACACTTTTCTCACTTTCTCTTTCTGATTTCTCAGTGCAAATTCATTCAATATCAACTTCTTATGGTCAAAAGTTTTTTATGATTAGTTGAACATACAGTTCTTTCTTTACCTTGGGAAGAGAGCAAGAGAAAGAATTGGGAATTGAGGACATCCAATTTCAGTCATGATTTTCAAATTTGAAATCCATGAAATTCAATGCAACACAACAAAAACTGGGCTTAACAAATACAATATGATTAGATATACCCCTTGAATACCAAAATCATTTTGTCCACCTGTCCTCTGCTTTTTATCTGTTTTAACTGATCCAAAATAATTACATGAAAATCTACATTTCTTTGACGAAATTTGTTTCCAAAAAACCAATAGTGAAAAAAGTTCTAGTTAAAAGATACAGCTACAATGCGCCAGATTTCTGTTATGGATTGCATCATTTAGCTTGATGAAAGTTAAAATTATACAGAGACAATATAATACATAGGTGACGAAATATAGTGAAGAATACGAATGTGTTTTAGTTAGATAAAATGTGTTTGCTTAAATACAGAGCTCTAAAATGCTTCTGATTATAATACCGTTACTATTTCGCTTTTTGGAACAGATAATATTTGACTAAAAAAATTAGCTATGACTGAGTTTGTGAAATACAGATTTAAAAGCAGTAAGTATAAGTTTAAATTATTAAAGAAATAAAGCCGAAATTTCAAGTATTCCTGAAAGAAACACTTGACTGATTTTGAAATCTCCATTATTTGTATTCTTTTTTAAAAAGCTCCAAATGCTATTATTCTAAATTATCTACACTCTTCAATAATTGATTACTGCGTTATTTTTGTTTAGAAAATTTCACCAAAATAATAATAATAATAATAATAATAATAATAATA